CAATAAGTTTTTCCCAGCATGGTAGCCATTAGTATTAGCCAAGTAAGACTGTAGCAGCCAAACCTCTGCGGGTATTAATCTGAGCCAGGGAGTGTTTTATTTCCTATGAATTCAACTTTTAATTTGTAAAATAAAGAATTTCTTTTTTCAAAAGTGACAACTTTACAGGAAAAGTGACATTTTCAAGAAATACAGGTATTTGCATTGTTGCCAAGACTTTGATGAGATATCATTTTCATATCTGTAAGATAAATATGCTAAGCTAAGCTAACTTGCTGCTGCTAGTAACTTCATACTAAACAGACAGTTATGAAAGTGGTACCAATCTTCCATTAAAAAGGATTTTAAATAAGAAAAAGCAAAACTATGAACCCTTTATTAAGTTTGTACCCTCTGAGAAACAAACACTCATGTTTACTTTCAACCACCTTTATCTTGCAGACTTTGGGGTTCTGCAGTGTCTCTGTGCCAAACAGTTAGAGGCTGTTAAAAACATTACAATCTGATGAAAACAAACAGCAGGACTCAACAAGATGCCTGTGTTTTCTATCAGACAGCAGGGCGAAAAACGCTATTTACTGCCAACTGTGAGTGATTGTGAAATTATTACTGTTGAGAAAGTCAGTGAAATAGATTTGTTTGGTTTAGGTTAATGTGAGATGCCAGAGGAACAGTTTGAGGTCACATTAGTCAAACTCAATCGAGCAGCAATGGAAAGACTTTGGAGAGTTAGAACGATCATTGATCCAAAAGTTAAAAAAAAGTAGGTGGCCCTGCATGCATGAACATTTTTCCATTCTTGTGTTCACTCAAATTTGTTTAACCACATAATCAATAAAGCAAAAATGGGACTGAATCCTCGGTAAGATAATGGTGTCATAGTGGAGTTGAGATTTACACTACATGCCACAGTCACCCACCCACACACCGATGACACAGCATCAGCCTTCTGATTACTGGACGAACCGCTCTACCTAAGAGCCACAGCCGCCCCAATTAGTTAGCAACTATTTTGATAATTGTTCGATCATTTAAGACATTCAAATCAAAAATGTCAGTAAATTCTACAAGAAACTGATTCTGGTGCCCCTGTGGACAAAAGCGGTAATGTGTCTACCCCCTTGTTTCATTGATTTTAAGGGGTATCTGACCAAATCTGACCTCATGGCAGGAATTGGGAATAAAGAAATAGTCTCGCTTATGATCTTATGAAGTTTGTTTATGTAAGTCATACAGAGACATTAAACTGAGACTTTTTCATAACCAGTTAAAACTTCTTGAATTAAATTAAACTGAAGATCTTTGGGTTTTGGACAGATATCTGATCATCTCTAATTATAACATTTAATTTAATATTTTGTAGAAAGTAATGACAGATTAATTAATAATCAAAATAATCATTAATTATTTATTTTTATTAAATTAATAATTATCATTAGCCACAGCGCTATTCTGTTCTAACACACGTTTGAGCTGATGAAACAGATGAGCTGTTACATCTTCTTGTATAGTATAATCGGTTCTGCAGAAGTCACAGAGCCATGTAAAGTCAGGTGAGACTTCCTTGTGTCCACTGACATCAGGGACATCTGGAGAATGCATTAACACATCCTGCTCCATAGGGGGCAGCAGTAACAGGAAATCCAGACCTGATATGTGTCAGTATTCAGCATCACAGGGTGCAAGTTGCTGCTTCTTGATTTAATAAATTGCAAACTGTGAAATGCAGTCCCTGTTTCCCTTCCATTTGTTCTTTATCTTCATCTCTCATTCCTTTTCTTCTTTCTTTCTGTTTTTATTTACAGAGGAAACTTCCGTGTTTCTACAGTAGCCCAGAACAGACAAATCAAACACTGGCTCTCGATGGGCCTTTTGAGTTTTGCAGCCACTGTAGTTTCTCCAACAACAATTGAAAGGCTGAGCTGTTTTCAAATGGGTGTAATCTGCAGCTTTACCACTAGATGCCACTAAATCCAACACACTGGTCCTTTATGAAAAAGATATAAATACTTTTTCCACCACAACCTCGGTCCTCACTGATTTGTGCTCCACACTGTGAGTTTTATGTTTTATAATTTTCATCCTGCCTCAGCAGCTTCAGCTTCATGCAGCTGATGGTCGTATGGTAGCTGATTCTAAGTTTGGACCATTTATTTGACCCTTTTGAATCTCTGGAGGAAATCCAATGGTTTATTTTTACTGCTCAGACTTGAAAAGGCCTTTTAAGAAAGAGCCACTGTTTCATTTGTCGTGGTAATCTCACATTCATGCCAACGTCAACAACTGTGACTGCTCTTTGACTCCTTTTTAACAACCAACTGTGCGCTTGGTTAACACTCATCAAACTGCTCCCCGACACGCACTTACTGCTTTTCTTTTGTGATTTTATATTTAAAGAACATTTTCTTTCAGATTAGACATCAATCTATCAGTTAATTATCCTATAATTTCATGCAGTTCTTACACAATCCAATTTAGTACTATGAAACAGTTCAGATTTTAGGGTGAATAACCTGAATGCTCAAAGGTGGTAAGAGAGCAGACACAGTTTTAATTTGTTTATAGTGTTAATTGAAGGAAATAGGGTCTCCACTTCTATATTTAACAGCTAAGTAAGGAACACACTGTTAACTGGCTCACAGTCACCACAAGTAGCTGCCTTCACCACCAGCCAGTCAATGAAATGTTTAACAAGAAAATATGAAGTCTAAGCTGAATGATTCTCTTTGTGGAGAATTATAGAACATATGTTGGTCTGTGACCCACGCTGAGGGGGAGCAGTGTGTGTGTGTGTGGTGCACGTGCTCAGTAGCAGCAGGATGGCCGTAGATTGTTGTTTGGTGAGCACCGGTAAGGGAGACAGGAAAAGGTTGATGGGGGTTGAGGTGGGGAGGGGGGCCATTTAGCTACAGAAAGTTATACTGAGGAGTCTTTGTCCCACACACACACACACACACACACGCACACAATCTTGATAAAACAGCCTGAGGCTCCAGGTTCGTCTCATAAGACTTGGAGCAAGACCAAATTCTGAAATCAGTGATATTTTGAAACGTCTCCTCTGTGTGGAGATGGTTTGGCAAATTTTTATTTCATTTTCATAAACCATCATCCCCTTCTTTTACAGTAACTCTCCATTAGTGTTCATTATAAAGAGCCATTTTTGAAAATACAGTAAGTGACTAAAAGTTGTGCAGTGATTATAGGTGAGGTACTAATATTTAAGTCAGATAAAGCCGCAAGACCACGTCATGGAATTGAACAACACTACATTGTAGTTACATTGTGTGTAGAAATGCTATAATGCAAATTATACTTTAATTTTGTTTTCTCGTTAGTTTAAGATTAGGTTTTTGATAGTCGACAGTGGAGTGATGACATGAATGAGGGGGGGTGGGGGGGGGGACGTCC